ATTAAACCAAAGCAAACCCCCATGGTGTGTACAAGCAGCTAATGAGAGATAAATAAATTTGTCTAGGCTATTTGGATATTCCTAACACTACTATCTACCGTTCAGCTTAAATTGGCCCTACTGTCTTTTAATTCTACTATGCTGCTACTCTTAGTCTTTATTTTTTTCCTTTTACCAATGGGATTACATATTGTGATTACCTGGAAGTAGCAGTAATCAGGTCTGTATAATGCAGGAGGTCCCTTCTATTCCAAGAAGTTAATCCATTTAGGCTGCATTTTTATTTTCACATTTGTTGAGCCAATAAAGAGATGCAATCAGACACACCAATGTGCAAAGATATATAAAGCAAGTAAAACTGCAATTAGGTAAAAAGGCTGGTAACTCCCAAACACAAGTAAAAAGTCAAGAGTTCTGGTTTTGTAACATTCATAGGTTCTAGGCACTGATCAGTTCCACAGATACACTGGTTAATTTGGCAAGAAGAATGTTCCAATAGTAGTTGAACAACAGAAAACTAAGCAAAGCTTTTAATTTATTTAGTTCTCTTTTTATGAGTAACATTGAACAGGGGCTTGAACATTTAGATTATGGTACATGTCATCAGACCTTTTATTTGAGCTTTTAGATGAGAATATAATGCTTAGAGTGGCATTTTACTCAGACTATAACTTAAAAAAGCAGCTATCCTTTGGTTATATCTGAATCTTTTTATTGGCACATCTCTTTCATATCATAATAAATACATTTTTGAATTTGCCAAGTACTGAAGTTTTACACCTAGCATGTGTAGCCAAGTACTGAAGTTTTACACCTAAAATTTTAATTTAATGACAAATGCTTTCTGGATACTTTAGATAAAATTCTGGCTGCATCAATGGGAGTTTTGACCCCAAAAGAGTGAAGTTTTCACTTAACTACATAATTTAAAACAAATCAGTAATTGTGGAGAAAAAAATTCTGATTAGCTACCATTTTGTTGGATGGTCTTTAAAGCTGCACTAAAACTGATGATATCTGTACTGTTGTGGCACAATGAAGAAAATGAATGAGAGAAACTCATGCTTAGCTCTGTAGTATATGATGCTATACGTAAGTACATAAAACCAACAAAAGCACCCCAAAACTTATAATAGGTGAAGGGGCATTCACTGAAATGGTGTATCCAGAGAAATGAAGCAATCATTGGGATACGATTTACTGCTGTGCATATTTTAAAGTGACTGAACAACACTGGATTAACAGCACACATTTGCAAAAAAAAAGAAGTCTGAATGACACTGAATGACATACTTGCAAGCATGTCTACAATAGAGTGAATGTGAACAGGTTTTTCCTACTATTTCCTGCTTTACAGCTCTCCATTTTCTTCAGGTGATGTGGTGAGTCTGCTGCATGAATTATCTTTATAACATCTGAAAGTTTTCTATAATGATTATGTAAGGCAGCTGATTAAAATGATTAAATATGTATATAACTACAAATAATATAGTCCCACTGACCTCTGATATTGGAATCATTGTTAAATTACGCTTTATCATTTGTACATAGAAATTAATAGCAATATGGACTTTAATCTATTGAAAATAACACAGAAAAAGTTCTGCTATAAACAAACAATTAAAAAAGATCGACTTAACAGTGGTTCCGAGGATTCTGCACTTTAGAATAAAGTGTGCACTTCGTGTGCAGTGCAGAAAAACTCTAGAGGGAGTATACTTCTGTCATTTCAATTTTTATATTTCAATGGCTGAAGACTGTGTACCTCCATACCACACTTGGGACAGGTAAAATACATGTCAAATAAATAGTTGCTTTTAATACAATAGTAGCAGAAAACATGTGGACAGCCTATGGTGTGAGGCATAGTAGGCCATTCTCCACATACAGAACATTCCTTGCAATGGTTTACTAAAGTGTTTTCGCTATTGGAAAGGCCTGCAACAGGTAAACACCAAGAAGAAATTCTGACTTTCAGCTTCTGCATGTTAATAAGAGGCAGGAGATAGATTAGAAATTCAGCAAAGCCATGCCATAAAAGCTCTCTGTTCATGTACTCAAATCCTATTTGGCGAACATTCTGAGGCCTACAAAAAACTGATCTAATTCTTAAAATACGTTCTGTCAGTGTTGCAAATTTTCCATTCTGAAGAAAGACCAGAAAGTTTAGTAGTCCACCAATTTTTATAAGTCCAGCAACAAAATTAATAAAAAGTTTGGTTTTGCAGAAAGACTCCAGGTGACGATTTCTGAATAAATCATAGCATCTTTCTTCCAACCACCTTCCACCAACACTGCAAATAAGATACCATAATTTCTGGTGTTTGCTCAATGGCTGGTATTTCTCTGTCTGAGACAAGTCATTTTTATACCGAATATTCAGAATAGTTTGTCCCACAGTTGCATTTTTAGAATAGATGGTGAATCTCCATAGGAAAAGCCATAAAAATGCTTTTACTTCTGGTTCAAAATGTGCCAGCACCCCTGGTTTAAATCCATGAAAACAGTTGGTAAACTGAGACCAAACCAATTGCTCCAGGGCTTTGTTTAGTTCAAGAGCATCCAGCTGACTTATTCTGAGCACGGGATTTACACTCTCGGCATTACTGTCACTAGCAGCCATGTCTTCACCACTGTCTTCTAGGAAGAAATTCAAATAAGTTATTCTGAAATTTAACATTTCCTATTGTTTATACATGTCTTTAATGAAGTTCATACAAAATTGTGAAATACCAACATTAAACAAATAACAGGGCCTTCTCTTCAGGCAATATCAGCATGGCATTATGCACTGCAACCAGCACTATTTAAGAAGTGTTACATTAAAAACATAACTTCCATCTTTAAACTGAGCTACTTCTCCAGATTTAACACATTCATTTGGCTATGCAGAAGGCTACAGTCTCTTTCAGCTATTTACATTCTTTCTCAAAGACTTAACATTTTACTGTGAAAGTGAACATATTTCCTGACTCTAAGAGATTGACTGAGTATTAAAAATAGGAGGAGTATCAGGAACAGGAATTGTAAAACTATAAAGTATCTTATGGAACGTAATGGGGCAAATGAGTACAGTAAGTAAAATCTTAAGGGAGGGTAGCAAAGAGAAACCTTGATGTACCTGCCCAACTCAACCTGATAATGAAAAATGTATTTTAGGAGATATGAAAACTACACATATGGAAAAAAAAAAAAAAGGCTGAAAACAAATTGGGAATGACAATGCTTTAAAGACAGCGATATGTTCTGTTTATAAAAGATTCTAAATGAGATCAAATAAATATTCAGTGCTTGAACTTAAATTATCTTACAATACATCACAGAAGCCTGCATGTATTTTCTAATCTCTTTTGACAGGTGCAGAGTTTTGCTACCAGCTGTATAACAAATTTTCTGGCAAGATGATTAATGTACACTAGTAACATCAACTAATGCAGTCTTCTTCCCTGAGTTTTACAATGAGAGATTTGCTTGGTCAATAAGATCATGTCATACCATTTGAAAAGGAAAAACAAAAAAAAGTAGTAGTATGCAGTGCAAAATCAAAACAATTTTGCATAAAAGCCATGACATAACTTCTCAGATAATGAAGTAGTCCACTGGGCATGCCTGATTACTACTTTTTTTTTTAAACATATATTAAATTGAGGTATTAGCCAGCCTTGTTGGTTGTTAAGTGTACAGGTTTTGGATTCTGAGCTGGATTCCTGGCAAACCAGACCAATATGAATTAATAGTTTCTGGGGTTAGTATGTTTTACCTACTAAATCAGTCAGGTAGGGAAAGAATAAGACTCTCTAGAGCAGTGCTTCCCACCCTTTTCCTCAGCGTGACCTCATTTATGGCCTCATTTCCTCAGCATGATCCCATTTCCTCAGTATGGCCTCTCACTCCCAACCCGCAGCCCCCCCACAACCCCATCCACTGATGTTGTAACGCCATGTGGGATGATGACCCACAGTTTGAGAACTGCTGTTCTAGAGAGCCACTCCCTAGCAAAAGCATGGCATGAAATTTACCAATACTACGATGTTCTGCTTTAAGGCTGTACTTGTCAGAGGGGAAAGCTAAAATAACACTGGGTCTTTATTAAGTGTACAGGTTCTCCTTTTACTCAGAGGGCCCTATACAGGAAGAATGGGTGACAGGTGAATGCATGGCAAAAAAAAGCTGATAAATCGGTAATACTATCAAAAACTTTAAATCCTATTCATATCTGCAATTAAAGCTCAATGTATAACAATTTCAGAGCAGGATTTGTAACTTACATATCAGAAGAGTTAGTACTAATTTGCAAGAAACATTCTGCAGAGGCAAAACTTAAGTAGGTGTGATGAATTTTCCATGTATGCTCTAGAGAGAAACCATATGAAAAGAAAAGGAGACCAGAATAAAAATGTAGGAACTTTACATAAAAGCACCTTCCCTTGAAGTGTCCTTTCTGTACTTTCTAATTGTCCATGACATTATCATATAAGCAAAGCTGAGTGGTGCCTTTGTTTTTGCCAGTGTGGGTAGTTACACATTCTTAGATTAAGTTATGGGAATTGTATATTAACTACTTGTACTTTTATATTCTTGTTACTAAGCATAGTAGAAGCTCACTACAGACCACATCTGCTAACATGGGCCTGGGACCAGCAAGCCTCTTAAGCACATGCATAATTTTTACTTTAACAGGATAATTCACCAGTTTAAAATTATGCATGTGCTTAAGTGCTCTGCTGGGTTGGGGCCATTGTATTATACACTCTTCCTGTAATTGCTAGAGGCTTTGATGAACCCTCCACTTACCTAGGGTTTGTGGGATCTTTAATCAATATGTAGAAGGCCAGTTTCTGCACTTGGATGCAAAGTTTCCATTGAGTCCCACATTGTCTATTTGTGAATAGCAAAGGACAGAATAGAAAAGAGAGATTAGTGTGAAAGTCATAGTGGTCTAGGATCAGCAGTGAGCAACCTTTTAAAGCTTTAGGCTGGAGTGACCCAGTCCAGATCACAAGTGGGTTGGTGGGTACTAGAACCCACCACAGACTGACATTTTTCTCCATGGTGGCATAGGGAAAGCACCTACAGCAAGTGCTTCTTCCTGAAGTGGCAGAGAAGAGCGACTGCTGCCAGAGCTCTCCACTGCTGAATGCTGCCAAAGTCCCAATACATGGGCTGAATCAAATGGCTCCAGGGCCATGCTTTTTGAAATGCTTTAGTCAGAGAAAGGGAGTAGGCAGAATGGCTAAATCTCTCTTGTTGTTGTGGGCAAGAAGAATTGCCACTCCCAGACTCAGGCAGGAGGGGTTG